TTATACGCGGTCCCTAGAAATCCAGACCCTTTCCCCAGGTCCCGTTGTTCATCCTGAGTCGTTTTTTGCCTTCCTGGGGCCTGGCGAAGGCCCCCAGATGCCGAACATTGCCCCAAACTTCCGCCGTGATTTTTATGATGCGAGCATGTCTGGGAAGAGTCCGGGTGAATTGGCGCTCTGTGGGTGAGTGTGCGCTGTGTCAGTAAGTATCGTGCACGAGATGCGAAGATTCGGGCAGTCCCACCTCCATATTCTCTCGGGTCGGACAGAATGGGGGGTACGGAAAGGGGAGGCGACGTAAGGATGCGACTCCTTTGAGGAGGTTGCCTTCAGCATCGACGCTGGGAGATCCGTTGTCGAAAGCTGTGCCATTCCTGTCCGATCCCGTATTATGATGTTAACGCCTGCCTCATCCGGCTTCATCCAGATCAGTATTGGGCTGAAGCTTCCTCATCCGGCCTAATTTGGCTACTCTAATCGGGTTCAAGTTAGCGGACGAAGAGCGGTACAATATACACTTTCCCAGGGCCGCGGACGTTTGTCCCAGGGCGGCTGGAACGTTTACACCCCAACGTGCCACCGTATGGTCACAAACTTTGCAGCCGTCTGGGGGGCAGGTTTCCCCGACGGCGGATCAGCTTTCTATACAGTTTTTCACCAGCTTATCGAAGACGCCTGCGGCGAATCACCGCCGCCCCCTGCCTTTTTGGAAGCGCCTATGTGGCCGAACGTTGAGGCTAGACCTGCCAAGCTATCGGACCATGTGTTCCCCGAATCGGTTTGGAAAGCCTTCGGGGAACACGTGGGCATCTTGAAGGTCATCTTGGCCGTGTGGAGGCCATTTGACCCTTCCGGGCCTGAGGACGTCTTGGAGGGCTCTTGGGCCGTCTTGGAGGCCATCTTGAGCGTCTTGGAGGCCTCTTGGGCCGCCTTTGGGGCCTCTTGGGGCCGTCTTGGGCTTGGAAGGTCGAACAAAAAGCAACTGCCACAATCCTTCAAAAACTCATGGGAAATCAATGATTTTAGCCTTTTCGGCCCTTCTGGAGGCCCTCTTGGGAGCCTCTTGGGCCGTCTTGGGCCATCTTAGGGCCATCTTCGGCCGTTTTGGAGGGCTCGCGGCCCGTCCGACGCCGTCGGAAGCCGTTTGGGGGGCCTTTCTGGGCCGACTTGGGGCCCTCTTGGAATGCTCCAGGGCCGTCTTGGAGGCCATCTTGGGTGTCTTAAAGCCTCCTGGGCCGTCTTGGGGGCCCCTTGGGGCCGTCTTGGCGGCTTCTTGGGCCGTTCTGGGGCCATCTTGGAGTCCTCTTGGGCGATCTTTGGGTGATCTTTGGGGCTCTTGGGCCGTCTCGGGTTGTCGGAAGGCCGAAAAGAAGCAAATGTCAAGATCCTTCGAACACCGAAGGAAAATCACTGTTTTTGGCCTTTTCTGGCCTTCCTGGAGGCCCTCTTGGAGGCCTCTTGGGCCGTCGTGGGCCAGCTTCGAGCCAACCTCGGCCAACTTGGTGGGCTCCTGGCCAGTCTGACGCCGTCGAAAGCCGTTTGGGGGGCCTCTCTGGGTCGACTTGGGGCCCTCCTGGGGTGCTCCAGGGCTGTCTAAGATGCCATCTTGGGCGTCTTGGAGGCCTCTTGGGTCGTCTTTGTGCCCTCTTGGGGCCGTCTTGGGGGCCTCTTGGGCAGTCCTGAGGCCATCTTGGAGGCCTCTTGGGCGCTGTGGGGGCGATCTTGGGGGCCTCTTGGGCCGTCTTGGGTCGTCGGAAAGCCGAGAAGAAGCGAATGCGTAAACCCTTCAAAAACCTAAAGAAAGTCAACGATTTTGGCCTCTTCGGGCCCTCCTGGAGGACCTCTTGGAGGCCTCTTGGGCCGTCTTGGAGGCCTCTGGGGAGCCTCTTGGGCCGTCTTCAGCCGTCTTGGACTCTCTTGGGCCGTATGGGAGGCCGTCTTGGACCATCTTGGGCGGACTTGGAGGCCATCTTGGACCATCTTGGAGGCCATCTCGGGCCAACGTGTCCATCTTGGAGACCATCTTGGCCATCTTGAGCGAAAACAATGGATAATTGCGGACCTTCGGGTGGCCGGCGGGACGGGCCGAAGCCCCAAGGGGAGTTCTTTTGGAAAAGGAGCCAACACCAAAACCGAAATAATTCAGCACGCCAGGCACCCCTGCAATGAATCGACAGGGGGCGGCGGATCGAAGACGCCTACGGCGAATCACCGCCGCCCCCTGCCTTTATGGAGGCGCCTATGTGGCCGAACGTTGAGGCTAGACCTGCCAAGCTATCGGACCATGTGTTCCCCGAATCGGTTTGGAAAGCCTTCGGGGAACACGTGGGCATCTTGAAGGTCATCTTGGCCGTGTGGAGGCCATTTTGACCCTTTCGGGCCTTCTTGGAGGACGTCTTGGAGGGCTCTTGGGCCGTCTTGGAGGCCATCTTGAGCGTCTTGGAGTCCTCTTGGGCCGTCGTGGGGGCCTCTTGGGGCCGTCTTGGTCTCTTGGGCGATCTTTGGGGGCACTTGGGCCGTCTCTGGCCGTCGGAAGGCCGAACAAAAAGCAACTGCCACAATCCTTCAAAAACTCTTGGGAAATCCATGGTTTTGGCCTTTTCGGGCCTTCCTGGAGGCCCTCTTGGAGGCCTCTGGGGCCGTCTTGGGCCATCTTAGTGCCATCTTCGGCCGTCTTGGTGGGCCCCTGGCCCGTCCGACGCCGTCGGAAGCTGTTTTGGGGGCCTCTCTGAGCCGACTCGGGGCCCTCTTGGAATGCTCCAGGGCCGTCTTGGAGGCCATCTTAGGGCCCTCTTGGGGCCGTCTTGGGGGCTTCTGGGGTCGTCATGGGGCCATCTTGGAGGCCTCGTGGCCGATCTTGGGGCGATCTTGGGGCGATCTTTGGGGCCTCTTGGGCCGTCTTGAGCCGTCGGAATGCCGAGAAGAAGCACATGCCAAAATCTTCCAGCAACCTTAGGAAAATCAAGGATTTTCGCCTCTTTGGGCCCTCCTGGAGGACCTCTTGGAGGCCTCTTGGGCCGTCTTGGGCCGTCTTCGGCCGTCTTGGAGGCCTCCTGGGGGCCTTTCAGGCTGTCTTGAGCCGTCTTGAGGCTATCTTAGGCCGTCTTGGGTGCATCTTGGGCCGTCTTGGAGGCGTCTTCCGGCCATCTTAGCCGTCTTGGAGGCCATCTCGGCCGTCTTGGAGGCATCTTGGAGGCCATCTGGGGCCATCTTGAGCGAAGAAGCCGACGAGGCAGGCAGCCGGCGGGACGGGCCGAAGCCCCAGGGGGAGTTCTTTTGGAAAAAGAACCAGAACCAAAAACGATAGGATTCGGCACGCCAGGCACCCCTGCGATGAATCGACAGGGGGCGGCGGATCCAATGGTGTTCGGCCCATCCTACCACCGTGCTTGGGTTGTGGGTACGACGCCTAGTAGATGTTCGTTGGGATCTCGTGGGAGGCCTCTCCAGGACCTCTTGGAGGCAGTTTTGATGCCACTTGGGGGTAGTTTTGGAGCCTCATTTGGGCCTCTTGGGGGCCTCTTGGGAGCTTGTTGGGGCCTCTTGGGCGCCACTTGGAAGGATCGATGAATTTTCGATTCGTGTTCCCTCTCTTGGGCACCTATTTGGGCCGTCTTGGGGCCCTTTGTGCCGTCTTCGGCGCTTCTTGGGCTGTCTTGGGGCGCTCCTAGGCCGTCTTGGGCCCCTCCTGGAGGCTTCTTGGGCCGTCTTGGGGTGGTCTTGGGGGCCTCTTGGGCCGTCTTGGAGCGTCGGAAAACAAAAGCAACCAATGGACGATCACTGATTTTTGCTTTTTGGGCCCCTCTTGCGAGGCCTCTCGGAGGACTCTTGGGGCGTCTTGCAGGCCTCTTGGGCCATATTGAGTCCATCTTGGGCGTCTTGGAGCGATCTTTCGGCGTCTCGCGACCCTCTGGGACCGTCTTGGGGGCGTCTCGGAGCTCTCTCGGCCCGTCTTGAAGCCTTCTTGGGGGCCAGCAAGTTCTGCGACACACCGCGGGGAATCGCGACAGGCCCAAGGAGACTTGTGGATTCGGGGTCCCGGGCCCCTCAAGACTCCTCAGGAGCGCCTGAGGGATTATGCAAAGGACCTGAGGGCACTCCCATTCCGTGCCCAGCGGCATGGTGGCGGATTGAGAGGCCGTGGTCCTTCTTGCGAGGCCCTCGCGCAAGTTGCCCTCTGAGCTACGAGAGCAGACGCATATGCAGCCGGTCTCGGCCCCGCTGCCCAGGCACCCCTCTCGATGCGTGGCCGCCGGGAGACGCCTGGACAGCCAGCCGCGCGGGCTGGTTTGCCAACGCCTCGGGGGCGACGACGGGGGCGGATAGCCCAGGGGGGAAGCAACACGTGTGCCCAGGGGCGCCGGTGGCACATGCCTCCGGTGAGGCTCCCGGGCGACCGCGTGGAACGCCCGCCCCTCGGCTATTGGCCCCCGTCGTCGCCCCCGAACGTCTCCCTGTTCGGCAGTAGCGCATGGGGGCCCCGCGTGCCCTCGCAGTTCGCGGCTTGCGTGCGTTGGCGTCGATTGGCGTCTGGTAACTCGATGAGATAGCGCCGATGTGGCGTCGATCAGCGTCGGCTCGCGCCGTTTTGGCGTCCACTAGCGTCCAGTAGCACCGATGAGCGTCGATTTGCATAGGGTCGCAAGAGACAACACGATGTTGTGGGAGGCTCCCACGAATTGCCACAGGACTCTCGTTCGACCCTCTCCTCGGCGGAATCCCCACTCCATTTTCTGTCAGCAGCCGTGAGCTTGACAAACGCATGCTGTGCGCGGGTGGGCCCGAGGACGCCAGCTGCAGAAATACTGTTGGCTGGCAGCGCTGTTGTCCTGCTTCGCTGTATCTCGCGGGTTTCTGCGGGGCCTCCTGAGGCGGACCTCCCGTGAACCTCCTGAGGGCCTCTCGTTGGCTGCAGAGACCCTGTTTGGAGTCTTGGGCTGGGCCGTCTCGGGGGGTCTTGGGGCCGTCCAAACCTGGCTCCTGCACCAAAGCCATTGCCGATGAACAATAAGAGGGCTTTCGGCCAGCTGGTGCCTGCCAGGGGAACTCGAGAGCAGAAGCATCGCGGCGTGCCCAGAGACGGCCGAGCTCAAGAAGTCCAAGCACGCTCGCGTGCCGTGTCAGAGTGCCCTGCTCCACCTCATCCGTTTGCGATTCGGATCTGCGTGTCGATGCCCGCTCACAGTGGCGTTGCTGAGCCACGATGCGAGTACTGTTGGTGTTGTTGTGGCTGTGCTGATGCTTTGCCACGTGCGCTTGCCACCCCGACGTATCCAATTGCCCCCCCGTGTTTCTGCCCGATCGTCCTTGTCCACCCCTCCCTGGCTGTCCTGATGCCTCAGGTGCTGTGGCTCCTCGCTGAGGAGATCCAGGAGATCATCAACGATAGATGGAAGTACATGGATCCCGCCGTTTGTATTTTCCCGTTCGTTTTCTCTAACTTGGCTTTCGTCTGTCGTGTTCGCTTGCTCCGTGCAGCTGGTCTGGTATCAAAAGTCGATGCCGACGCTACCTTGTGATTTTGACCACCGTTTCAGCTACACAGCGCCCGATGCCTGGAGGAGGAGTCCCCCTGCGAAGTGGAGCGAGATTTAAGTCGGGCCTGTCCCTCTACAGGAGGGATATTCAAAAATAGCCCACAAAACAACATGGGGACGATTTTTTGTAAATTTTTGGGCATTCTTTGAATATTGCGAAGGCCTTACGGCCAGTGCCGCCGACCCTGAAGACGACGAAGGGGGAGCAGGAGGAGGAGGAGGCAGAGGAGGTGCTCCCCCCCCCCCCCGGGTATCCGGGTGGGACCCCCTCCCCCCCTCCCCCGGGGGAGGGGATAAAAGGGAAGGGGCTTCCCTTTCAGTAACTACGATGTTGCTCAGAGTGGCTTCCCCCGCATCGCGGCCGCTCCCCTCCCCCGAAGGGAACTGCCCGGGTGCTCCCCCCCCAGTATCCGGGTGGGACCCCCCCCCTTCCCCCCCCCGGGGGAGGGGAAAGAAGGGAAGGGGCTTCCCTTCGAGTAACTACGACGTTGCTCAGATTGGCTTCCCCCCCGCGTCGCGGCCGCTCCCCTCCCCCGAAGGGCTTGTCCCTCTACAGGACGGATATTCAGAATTCGCCCAAAAAACAACATGGGGACGATTTTTGGATAATTTGAGCGTGTTTTTTGTTTGTTTCTGTTTTTTGAATATTTTCAAGTTTTCGCCCCAAATCCCGAGGTCCTGGATCGCCACAGGTTTGAGTTCTGGGCCTCAGAATCGGCTCTGCGTCCCGGGCAACCTTTCGAGGCGGATGCAGCCGCTGCCGCGAGGGCGCTCCACGCGGCACAAGGAGCGTGGAGCACACATTTTCCTTGGGCGCGTTCCCGATCCACCAGACTCCACCGCCAGAGTGTCAGCCGCCTCGGAGACGTGGCCCTCGGTCGTGTGCCCGTTCTGGGGACCTGCTGGGGCCCAGCTGACGGACCTGTTCGACTCCGATTCTGATCTGGTTCGACTCAGGTTCGGCTCTAGCTCGACCCAAGTTCGGTGCGAGTTTGACCCGTGTTCGACGGACGCTCGACGCAGCATCGACGCACGAGCGGAGCGAGTGGCAGGTCCTCAGAACGTGCAGCTAACCCGAACCAGAACGAGCAGCCAGCCTCAAGGAGTGACTAATGGCTGCCGCCGAGACGGCGTCTGCCCCTGGCCGCCGCAGAAAACGTCCGAAATCTCGAGGGCGGGAGAGAATACCCTCCTCCGCCGCTCCCCAGGGGCTCGGGGCGTCTGTCCAGGTCTCCTGGCGGTGCACCTCTGTCGCCATGGGGGAGGCGGGTCCTGAGGGAAACGGGTCCTGATGTTTTTCGCCGTTTTCGGGCTCTCGGGGCCTCCACTGGCCCCAGGACTGTCAGAAAGCAACTCAGGAGGACGAACTCGTCTTGGGGAAGGCCCCGGGGTCCAGGACTTGTTTCCTTTAGGGCCCGTCTTCCCCATGCTAATCTTCGCTGGCCAGTAGCCCCCGCTCCGTCAGGCTGTCCCATGGGCAGCCAAGTCTCAGCGGTGGGGATATGTCCGAGGAGTGGTGGGCAAGGAGGCCGGCACGCCTCCCGCGGGCGGGAGAGTGTGCACGCATCCAGCTGCTGTTGCTGTGGACGTGTCATGGCGGTGCACGAGGAGGAGGACGAGGAGGAGGACGAAGAGGAGGATGAGGAGGAGGAGGAGGAGGAGGAGGAGGACGAGGAGGAGGAGGAGGAGGAGGAGGGGGAGGAGGAGGAGGAGGAGGAGGAGGAGGAGGAGAAGGAGAAGGAGGAGGAGATGCGTGCCGTCGTCGCCCACGCCAGGGGCCTCGAGCAGCGAGGCTCGAGGCCATCGGACGTCTGGCGTTTATTTGGCCTCCAGGGGCCCGATGCCCCTGACACCCGGAGGCGAGCTTTTGGGTGCCGTCCACGGCTCTGCACGTGGCATCGGTCCGTTCGATTACCCGCACCCAGCGTGGGGAAGCAAAGGCACGCCGCCGTGGGGACGCCCATCAGCGTGCTACTGCTTAAGAAGTGCACCAGGCGTTCGGGGAAACGCAAAGGAGCAACCCTCTGGCTGTCTCCGAACGGCGGCGTGGCGTTGGTATCCTTTACCTGATACCCTTTATCCCTCCCCACCAAGGGCGGCCCCCCTCCTCCTCCTCCTCCTCCTCCTCCTCCTCCTCCTCCTCCTCCTCTTCTTCCTCCCCCTCATCCGCGGATGGGGTATCATTCGATCTCACGGGCGACCCGATCGGTCCGCGCTGAGGGGCGGCCCCTGCTTCTGGACAAACAGCCGTGGAGGTCGCGCGAGGTGCGCCTCGCCGCCTTCTTTCTCTGGCCGACCCTCGGGTGCCACCCTTTCGCCCGGCGCTCAGGAAGAGTGGTTCTGGAACCTGCTCGACTGGATGAACATGCCGAAGAACAAACCACGGCATAAGCATAAACTGTCGACGGTCTGCGTGGAATTCTTGGATCGGCGCTGCAGCTCCCTGGCGGCGCCTCTGGCGCCGCCCTTGGCGCGCTCCGCGCGCCCGGGCGGGGGATACAGCGCTGGACCGTCAAATGTTTATGTTATTGGTAAGTCGGGCCTGTCCCTCTACAGGAGGAATATTCCCAAATAGTCAAAAATATAATGGGTACGAATTTTCAAACATTTTCGAACATATTTTGATTTTTGTGTTCTGACTATTTTTTTATTTTTCGTCCGAAATCCGCCTGTCGGAGGACATGCCCGACCTGATGTTAATGCCGTTTTTTGTTCATCTAACATGGTGCTGATCATAGCCGCCTTCATCCTGCGGGTCATGAGCTACTCTCACGCCGACTCGCTCAACATCGGAACGCAGGATCCGCCGGAGCCGGGGCCGCCCCTGCAGATGGTGCACTTCTCTCCGCTCTGCCTCCTCCCTCCTCCCTCCTCTCTCCTCCACCTCCTTCCTCCAGCACGGTGAGGCTTGGCGCAGGAGCACGGCCTCAACCAGCACCTTCCTCCTTCCTCCCCTCCTCTCTCGTTCGCCTCGTGCTGCCTCCTCCCTCCTCGCCCTCCTCTCCCCCTCCTCTCGCCGCCGACGCTGGCCGGGGTGCTGTGCTGCCTGCCCCAGGGCGTACATCGAAGACGCCCACGGCGAGCCCCCGCCGCCGCCTGCGCCTTCTGAACGCGCGCCTGCGTGGCCGAACGTTGCGGCCAGAGCTCCGCCAAGCTGGCGGGCTATGTGTTGCCCCAGCCGCGGTGAAGCCCCTTCGGAGAACACAAAGGGGGAGGAAGAAGAGGAGGAGGATGAGGAGGAGGAGGAGGAGGAGGAGGAGGAGGAGGAGGAGGAGAGGGAGGAAACAGGAGGAGGCGGAGGAGGAGGAGGAGGAGGAGGAGGAGGAGGAGAGTAGGAGGAGAGGAGGAGGAGGAGGAGGAGGAGGAGGGAGGAGGCGGAGGAGGAGGAGGAGGAGGAGGAGGAGGAGGAGGAGGAGGAGGAGGAGGAGGGAGGGAAGGAGGAGGAGGAGGAGGAGGAGGAGGAGGAGGAGGAGGAGGAGGAGAGGAGGAGGAGGAAGGGAAGGAAGAGGAGGAGGAATAGGTCTCTTGGGAGCCTTTCGGGGCGCTCTCTGAGCCTCCTGAGAGCTTCCTGGGGGCCTCCTGGATGCCTTTCGGGGGCTTCCTTGGGCCCGAGGGCCGCTGGAGCCTCCTTGGGAGGCCCTTCAGCCGTCTGAGGGCCTTCCTGGCCAGTCTGACGCTGTCGGAAGCCGTCTGGTCAGCCTTTCTTGGCCGACTTGGGGCCCTCTTGGATCGCTTCAGGGCCGTCTTGGAGGCCATCTTGGGCGTCTTGGCCCTCTTGGGGCCTTCTCGGAGGCCTCTTGGGCCGTCAGGGGCCTTCTCGGAGGCCTCGTGGGCGCTCTCGGGGCCATCTTGGGCCGTCGGAAGCCGAACATGAGCAAACGCCCGAATCTGGCAGACACTGACGGGGCAATCATGATAATTTTTGCCCCTTCGGCCTGGATGACCTCCTGAAGACCGCTTGGGCCGTCTTGGAGGCCTCTCAGGGGCCTCCTGTGCCGTCTTGGTCCATCTTGGGGCCATCTTAGGCTGTCTTAAGTGCATCTTGGGCCATCTTGGAGACATCTTGCGGTCATCTTGGGCTCTCTTGGGGCCATGACAGATCCTTGCCTGCCAACTCCGCGGGAGCTTTCCGGATGGCCAGCGGGTCGGGCCGAAATTCGAGGCATTCAAACATCGTCCATTTTTTTGGGGGAAAGCGTGCATTTTTAGCGTATCCGCTTCTTTGGTCTTCACAGTGTCCACGACAGACTAAGAGGCCCCCAGGATCGCCTCAAGACTGCACAAGAGGCTCCTAAGACGGCAAGAGGGCCCCAAGACGGCCCAAGAGAGGCCCCTGAGGGCCCCAGAAGGTTCCCAAGAGAGTTCCAAGGGGCCCCAGAGGGCATTGAGATGGCCCAAAGACGGCCCCAGAGGGCCGCAGGACGACCCAAGAGGGCCTCAGGACGGCCCAAAGGAGCCCTGAAAGGACCCCCAAGAAGGCCTGGATAGGCCAAAATGTTGGATGGTGTACCAGAGTCTTAACACCAAGAGGGCTCCAACACACTGAGCAAGCGATCTCGCGCCCTCACAGAGTACGAGAGTTTTCCGTTCCCGTGCCAAGCAGGTCTCCAATTGCCTCCGGCCCATCCCGCCACCGTGCCTGGGTTGTCGGTCTGAGGCCTCTTGGACGGTCGTTGGGATCTCGTCGAGGCCTCTCGGGGGCCTCTCCTGCAGACAGTTTTTGAGGCTTCTGGGGGGCTGTTTTGGGGCCTCTTGGGGGCCTCCTGGGCGCCTCTTGGGGCAGAAGGCTTGGATTTTTGGCACGTGCTCCCCCTCTTGGGGCCCTCTTGGGCTGTCGTGGGCGCCTCTTGGGCCGTCCTGGGGACCTCTTGGGCCGTCTTGGGGCCGTCTCGGGGGCCTCGGTGGCCGTCTAGGGGCGGTCTTGGGGGCTCTTGGAACGTCGTGGAGCATCGGAAGCTAGAACAGTGGAGAATCCACAATACATTGAAAAACCAACGGGAAATCCAAAGCTTCTTGGGCCATCTTGAGGCTATCTTGGGTGTCTTGGAAAGCTTCTGGGCCGTCTCGGAGGCCTCTCGGACCCTGCTGGGGGCTTCTCGAGGCCCTCTTCGCCCGTTTTTGGGGCCCTGTTGGGCGGGGCCACCGACCCAGAGGCCCATGTGACACACCCGGGTAGCGCCTGGAAGCGCCCGATAGCGCCTGGGAAACCGAGTGTCCAGGCCCTCAAACAAACCCTCTACCTTTTAGGGTTCCGTGAGCCTTGGGGCACTCCACTACATGCTGAAGGCACGGTGGCAGATTTTATTGTCTCCCTGAAGAGGTCGCCCCCGAGGCCCCCAAATGGCCCAAGAAAGCCCCAAGACGGCCCAAGGTGGCGCCGAGACGGCCCAAGGAAGCTCCCAAAGAACCCTCCGACGCGCCCACACAGCCCAAGAAGACCCTTGAAGCCCACACGAGGACCCAAGAGGCCCCCAAGAAGCCCCCAAGAGGCCCCAAGACAACCCCGCGCGGCACCAGGAGCCCCCAGTTGCTTGATAGGGTCACCACGACACTTTCCTGATCCAACGTCCTCCTCCAATTACCTCTTACTGTCCTCCGTCGTCGTCGTCGTCGTCGTCGTCGTCGTCGTCGTCGTCGTCGTCGTCGTCGTCGTCGTCGTCGTCGTCGTCAACGTCGTCGTCGTCATCTTCCTCCGCATTCCTCGTACTCGCCCTCGTTCTCTTCGTCCTCGTCCTTGTGCTTCTCTTCCTCCTCCTTGTCCTCATGCTCCTCCTCGCTATCCTCATGGTCTCCACGTCGTCCTTGTCATCGCCTCCTCGCCGCCCTCGCCTTCCTTTTTCTTCTTCTTCGCCCAATACGCCGCCCATTAGACTAAAGCGAGGCTTCCCGTTCTTGTCCGATCAGGTGTTTTTGAGTATTTTATTGTTTCCTTCAAGCGGTATTGGTTTACCACTCGGAGCACTCTATTGTACTGGTTCCACCCTTGCTGGGGTATTGCTGCCTCCCGCGCGGAGTAATGTCTCCCTCATGCCCTGAGATCCGACGCCGCGAAACATTTGAAACGTAGCTAGAGCCCTAGACCCAATCGTCATCGACATCTCTCGAACCGCATCGACGAGGGTCCTGGGGCCACGGCGCAGCGCGAAGCCGTCCAGCGTGAAACAGTGGCAACGCCCCGATCCCGGCTGGGTCTGGGGCTTGCGAGGAGCGGCCGAATTGGGGGCCGAGCTGGGCCGATGCCTCCCTGCAGGGAGGCATCGGCCCAGAGGAGGAGGAGGAGGAAGAAGAGGAAGAGGAAGAAGGAGACGAATACGAAGAAGAAGAAGAAGGATAAGGAGACGGATCATACCAATGGGGATGACATGAATAATAAGACCAAACATAAGAGTATGAGGTGGATTACTAAGCATACTATGAAGAACATTAATACTACCAACATGACTAACAATAATACTGATAATTTGAATAATCGTACCAATACGAAGACGGATAACCATAGTAATAATGTGAATGGTACCATTGATACGAGGCATACGAATAAGAACAATAAACATAATACGACGACGACTACCACGACTGATAATAATGTTAATAATGCTAGTGCGATTACTAATACTTTTCACTTTACGAACAATAACCGTCATACTAATAAAGATAGCAATAATACGATTAATAACTATATGAATGTGAAGAAGAATAATAATCATACGAATAAGAGTAAACATGCTAACAACCAAACCATATTACCAACACTATTAACAACCTATTAGGAATAATACTGATAACAATCATATGACTAATACGTATTGCAATGATACTACTAATCACAGTGTTAATACTACGAATAGTAATACGAAACATAATCACAATACTAATAACAAGTCATAAAACTATCACGAATAATAATACAACACATATGGATGATAATAGGAAGAGACGAAGCAAACTAATAAACACAAAAAGAGCAAGAAGAAGAGGGGGAGGAGGAGGAGGGACAGTACTGTTGGGCGCCCCCCCTGGCTGGGTCTTGGGGCTTGCGCCCGCTGGACACGGGGGCTGCCGCGCGTGGGGCATGACTGGCCGCCCGTCCCCGTGTGCTGGGTAAGGGGGCGTCGCCGCACGCTAATTGGCACGAGCCTCCTCCTCCTCCTCCTCCTCCTCCTCCCTCCTCCTCCTCCTCCTCCTCCTCCTCCTCCTCCTCCTCCTCCTCCTCCTCCTCCTCCCCCTCCTCCTCCTCCCCCTCTCCTCCTCCCCCTCCTTCTCCCCCTCCTCCTCCTCCTCCTCCTCCACCTCCTCTTCCTCCTTCTCCTCCTCCTCCTCCTCCTCCTCCTCTTCCTCCTCCTTATCATTGACTTGTGGATGGCAGGAAACTCCGAGGAACCCCCTCCTTTCCCGACGACGGCGACTCGAACGACGGCGACGAGAACGGCGACGACGACGGCGATGGCTTTCCGAAGCCCGCCAGCAGGCACGCAGCTGCGCACGGGCCTCGTCGCCGTCGTCCTCGCCGCCGCCTTCATCTCCATGGCCGCTGCCGCCGCCGTCGGCGCCCTCCTCTCGAGGACGAAAGCTTGCATAAACATAAATTGTCGGAGCTCCGCGCGGACTTGTTAGATCTGCGCTGGACCCCCCTGGTGGCGCTTCTGGCGCCGCCCTTAGCGCACTCCGCGCGCCGCGCGCCAGAGATGAGCTCCAGCGCAGATCCAAGAAATCTGCGCGGAGTTCCGAACACTATGCTTTTTCATTGTTTCTTCTGTCCTCGTCCTAGTTTTCGTCGTCATCGTCGTCGTCCTCGTCGTC